TTTTTTTTTCAGTTTTCGGAAAATCACTGTGAATGAGTGACGTCATAATCAAATCCCTTGACTCGCTGCCAAAATCGCAGTAGCAGCGTTATGAATGGTAGTAGCAGCAGCGTATATAGTATAATGTAAACACAGTGTAAACACACCCCCGTATTTAGGGGGATTATATGTACTGAATTGACCCGGCTATCCCCCAGGGGCTGCACTCTATTGACCCACCTATCCCCTCCAGGGGCTGCACTCAGTTGACCCACCTATCCCCCCCCAGGGGCTGCACTCAGTTGACCCACCTATCCCCCACAGCCCAAAAAGTGCACTCAGTTGACCCACCCATCTAGGCTCCTTATACTACTTCCAGTGAAAGAATACTACAAACACCCCACTTCTTGCCATTATGCACACGTCAGTGCAAAAAAAAAAAAAAAAGAAAAAGAAAAGAAAAGAAAAGAAATTGAAAACTAGTAGACTTATTGTTCACAGAACAATAAGAGGTCTTTCCACCTTCTTTAAATTTTAAATTTGTTTTATATCTGACTCCTTAAAATTAAATTCCATGAAAAAGAAACCAAAATTGTCTTAAAGCATAGAAAAAATGAAATTTAAAAAAAACGGAATGACCTTGCCCTTTAGAAAATATTCAAGGTCAAAGGTCAAGGGTCAAAATGCAATTTACTGCATGCTTCTACAACTTATAGTTTTCTAGTTATAAGGTTTAATAGTAAGTACAAAGAAGTTAAAGGGCAATAACTCATATAAAGGGTCATCAGATCAGATTTTGCACCTATACAGTGAAGTTAGGCCTAAAGACCCTTAAGACATCAGTGAACGTTTGGTGTGTCTACAGTCTACAGTTTTGAAGGAGTAGCAATAACAAGGTTTTTCGCACAAGGGGCAATAACTTTTAAAAGGGTTAATGTTAGGGGACAAGAATAAAATCTTTGAAACAGTTTTAAGAGTATATATTATTGATGCATAGACATTAAGTATATGTTGAGAGACAAAAGAGATATAAAAATTGTTAAATTTTTCATTTTTGGAATGACCTTGACCTTTGACCTTTACATACATTTTAAGGTCAAAGCTGAATGAATCATATGCAGTTGGTCTCATGTCTTTATGACTTGTCATTTTGAAAATTTTTCATTATTTGTAAAATTCAAAAATTTCAGGGGAAATAATTCATAGAAGGGGTCTACGAATCCTTTCGCAATGAATAGATCCGAAGGTCCTCTCAAGTAGTCACAGACATTGGTAAAGGTTTCAAACCTCTGCAGTTTATGGTTTCGGAGGAGTAGCGATAACAAGCATTTCTTGCGTAAGGGGCAATAACTTTTAAAAGAGTTAATGTTAGGGGACAAGAATGAAATCTTTCAAATAGTTTTAAGAGGACATATTAATGTTGCAAAGACTTTAAGTATATGTTGAAAAACAAAAGAGATATAAAAGGACCTAAATTTCTCATTTTTGGAATGACCTTGACCTTTGACCTTTGCATAAATTTTAAGGACAAAGGTCAGTGAATCTTATGCAGTTGGTCCCATGTCTCTACGACTTCTCGTTTTAAAAATTTTTCATTATTTGTAAAATTCAAAAACTTTCAGGGGCAATGACTCATAGTAGGGGTCTACGAATCCTTTCGCAATGAATAGATCCAAAGATCCTTTCAAGTAGTCGCAGACATTAATAAAGGTTTGGAATCTCTGCGGTTTACGGTTTCGGAGGAGTAGCGATAACAAGCATTTCTTGCAAAAGGGGCAATAACTCCTTTAAGAGTCAAAGTTCATATACGCAGGGTCAACTGCGAAAATCATTTACAAAGTACATTCTTATGGTCTATAAATCTTTTCGATAAATCTTGAAACTCAAAAACACGTTTGGCGGAAAAATAATAATAATAAACAGAACAATTTCAATAGGTCTTTCCACAGAAAGGTGGAAAGACCTAATTAATATAATCTTTCTCTCCCCTTTTCATCCCGTGGGGATCCGGGTTAGAATAGGTCCTCAGTACCCCCTTGCTTGTCGTAAAAGGCGACTAAATGGGGCGGTCCTTCGGATGAGACCGTATAAACCGAGGCCCCGTGTCACAGCAGGTGTGGCACGATAAAGATCCCTCCCTGCTCAAAGGCCGTAAGTGCCGAGCATAGGCCTAAATTTGCAGCCCTTCACCGGCAATGGTGACGTCTTCATATCAGTGAAATATTCTGGAGAGGGACGTTAAACAGTATACAATCAATCAATCAATCTCCCCCTTTTCTGTATACCTTAATTGATCGAAGGATGTTTGACTTTTTTCGCCGCATCTAAATAAAAAGAGGAAAGAGCGCCGTTTTTCCTACTCATTTTGTTATGTTCAAGATATACAGAGGATTATAAACTAACTGCAAAAACACAGGCACCTGACGTTACTTATTTTCCTTTTGATAAAAAAAATATACCCCTATCTAATGATAAACCATCTGACGTTACTTATTTTTCTTTTAATAAAAAAAATATATCCCTACCTAATATAATAAACCGGTTTATTATTAGGTAGGGGTATATTTATTTTTTTATTAAAAGAAAATAAGTAACGTCAGGTGCCTGTGCTCAAAAAGTAGTACTTCGCCATTGCACGTACTCGGTTTATTTCAAAATGAGAAATTTTCAGTTTCATGGTGTTTTGTGTAATGATTTAAGAAACGACCTAAAGTGTTTGCCGAGTCTCATGCTCAATGGAAAAGGTGAAGATAACGAACAGTGATCTATCACTGAAAACTACAAACAATATAAATCTGTGAACAGGGAATAAAACACGGATCCCTGGAAATTCAAATTCCAGAAGTAGGATCAGTTGCCTAGAAGTAGTAAACATCCCTCAAAATAGGATCCTTTAGGTTCTGAAACAAGGCAAATGACATTTTACACTTACTTTACCCTAGTCACCAAACGAGCTCAGAAAATCTTTACCCTAGTCAAAAATTTACTTTACCCTAATCATGCTGAAATTTTGTACCCGCAATCTGGCTTTAATTAGCTCATTTCATGCCAACTTTTCGCAAACGCTGTGCTCTTCTGAATAAAATATTTCAATTTAAACAACAAAATTTATAATGTAAGTCTGTATAACGCTGAAACTCAGTGCAGATTAATCGAAGCGTATTTGCCTATCGCCATCTTGGACTAACCACTCAGCATCAATATGTTGGCCCAATGTAATGCCAACAATATTCATTTTGTTGGCCCAACGTTGCATACCAATGTTGGTTCAATGTTTAAGTGCAAAGTGGGCTCATGTTGGGCCAACGTATTGTCTTTACGTTGGCCCAACATAAGACGCCGATTACATGGATGTTGGCCCAACCTTGGATACATGTTGGGCCTACGTACTAAACTACAAATATTGGACTTATGTTGGCCCAGTATGTCTTTTACATTGGCCCAATGTGTCTTTTACGTTGGCTTAGAGTTTCTTTTACATTGGCCCAGCGTTCCTCTAGCTTACATCGGCCCATTGTTTCTCTGATGTTGGCCCGGTGTTATTTTCACATTTGCTCAGCGTCTTTTTACGTTGGCCCAGAGTTTGTTTTACGTTGACCCAGTGTTCTCAACCAATGACTCATATTTTTAATTTCCAGTAAGTGGGAGAAATAACAAGAATAAGATAATTTGATACGGTTTACTAATTTAATCATTTACATGAATTAAAAACACTAAATCAAAAATTAAAATTAAAAACTAAATTAAAGTCAAAGGGTAATAATGATAATTCACCAAATACCAAAAAATTCAAAGTCATTTCAAGCCATTCATCGGTTGGACTCCTCCTATTCTGCTGTCGTTTTTTGTTTCCTTTCCTCTCCTTCCTTCCTCCATCCATATCACAAGAGTATCGTAACCATGCAGTCCTTTTCAGCATCTTCGATATCTTTGTCTTTTGCATCTTTGCAACATCCATTCTTTCTCACAGTTACTGTCAAAATAAGATACTGTGATTTTATTTGTTATGTGAAAAAAAAATTGTTATTTTATAACTTAAAACTGCATACTACAGAGATCTATTTTGTAAGGTAATTTTATGTCACTAGAGTGATCTGCCCTTAGAAGTAAGATAGAAAAATATTGTTTCGGTATTTACAGGTAATTACACAATTTATGTTGGATTAAAATATTCTAAACATTATATTACACAAACTTATAGATAAACTAATGTACAAATTAAAATACAAATGTGTTTTTGGTTTACTTTACTAGCAATCATTTTGATGACAAGATATTTGTGAAACATAATGTCAAAAGTATAAAAAATTGTAATCTTAGTTCAATAAATTAAATGTGACTTTGGTGCATTACCCTTGACACATGTCTGATCTTTGACAATTAGACATATTTTTCATGTTTAACGAAATTTGTAAGTTGTCGATCCACACATATACAAACAAACAAACCAAGATCAGTATATCTTGGGTCGGAGTATAAAATAATATTTTAAAGATACGTAAAAAAAATACTCACTCAGCAACACATCTTTCAATGAGAAAGAGGAAAACGTTCTCTTAATTATCATCCCTCCCTAGCCAGTTCATTTTCTTTGCAACACTGATGTCTATCATGGAACTCATAATTCTCCGTACACTTTGTTTCGTATTGTCACCTCTAATCGTTCTTAGTTTTCTTACCTAAAAAGTACCATGTGATTTTAATGCTTAATGATATTGAATAAATAATTCAACTATTTTTATTCGTACTGTTTATAATGGGTCGGTTTAATGTCATATGATTATTTACAAAAATATTTACAAAATTGAAAATGTATCAGACACAGAAATAAGAATTTATAAATGTATTTGGGAATCACACATTCTTGGACTTTTCCGGTTAGTATCGGAAAGACCCGAGATCGCTGCACAATTTTTTAGGAATTTTTTGTCTGAGACCTTATTGAAAGTACAGAATACTGGTCTAAGGGAACTAATATTATAGTATTTATAGCACCATAATTCAAAGCTTGTAGACAAGGAAATATATTTACATGACAATGATATCACTTATAAAGATTATACATATATGCACTTGTCTCTATCAACAAGGATCGCCCCCTCCCCACGTTCCCCCATGCATGTGCAACCAGAAGTCTCTGTCGAGACTGTAGCTCTACTGGTTTGTATTTATCAAAAACCATTGCACTATTTTATGTTTCTTTGTGTAGTCTACTTGTGTGCCAACTTATTTTTAAATCAAACTAAAACTGTAGAAGGAGTAGCGTTTTAAAGGAATTTCACAGAAAATTCTATTTTTAGTAGCCATGGTAACACCGTTCATCGAAATCAAAAACCGATGCTCTATTCTATGTATCTTAGTTTAGTCTACTTGTGTGCCAAGTTATATTGAAATCAGACCAAAACTGTAGAAGGAGTAGCGTTTTAAAGGAATTTCACAGAAAATTCTATTTTTAGTAACGTTGGCAACACCATTCATCGAAATCAAATACTGATGCACTATTCTATGTATCTTAGTGTAGTCTACTTGTGTGCCAAGTTATAATGAAATAAGACCAAAACTGTAGAAGGAGTAGCGTTTTAAAGGAATTTCACAGAGTATTCTATTTTTAGTAACCATGGCAACACCGTTTACTGAAATCAAAAACCGATGCACTATTCTATGTATCTTAGTGTAGTCTACTTGTGTGCCAAGTTATATCTAAATCAGATCAACACTGTAGAAGGAGTAGCATTTTGAAAGTATTTCAAAGAAATTTCTATTTTAGGAAACCACGGCAACACTGTTCATCGAAATTAAAAAGCGATAAACAGAATTAGGTACAATGTACATGTATCTTAGTGTAGTCTACTTGTGTGTCAAGTTCTATTGAAATCAGACCAAAACTGTAGAAGGAGTAGCGTTTTAAAGGAATTTCACAGAAAATTCTATTTTTAGTAACCATGGCAACACTGTCCATCGAAATTAAAAACCGATGCACTATTCTATGTATCTTAGTGTAGTCTACTTGTGTGCCAAGTAATATTGAAATCAGACCAAAACTGTAGAAGGAGTAGCGTTTTAAAGGAATTTCACAGAAAATTCTATTTTTAGTAACCATGGCAACACCGTTTACTGAAATCAAAAACCGATGCACTATTCTATGTATCTTAGTGTAGTCTACTTGTGTACCAAGTTATACTGAAATCAGATCAACACTGTAGAAGGAGTAGCGTTTTAAAGGAATTTCACAGAAAATTCTATTTTTAGTAACCATGGCAACACTGTTCATCGAAATTAAAAACCGATGCACTTTTCTATGTATCTTAGTGTAGTCTACTTGTGTACCAAGTTATATTGAAATCAGATCAACACTGTAGAAGGAGTAGCGTTTTTAAGGAATTTCACAGAAAATTCTATTTTTAGTAACCATGGCAACACCGTTCATCGAAATTAAAAACCGATGCACTATTCTATGTATCTTAGTGTAGTCTACTTGTGTGCCAAGTAATACTGAAATCAGACTAAAATTGTAAGAGGAGTAGCATTTTGAAAAATTGTTTACAGACAGACGGACAGACAGACAGACAGACAGACAGACAGACAGACGGACGGACGCCGGACGCATTACTATCGCATAAGCTCTTCTGGTCTCTGACCAGTAGAGCTAAAAATGGAGCGTTGCGCGTTATAACACTGTTTAATGAGTTCATTATTACATATTACAGTGTGTATATTTTACTCATTTCTATTTTAAAGGACAAGGGTTTAGATTTATCCCACATACAAAAATTTAAACCAAAAATCACATATAATATGAAAGGAATATGCATACATGTACAGATCGAATTTGCTACATTGTAGATCAAAATCTGTTCCACTATGTTACTATCATTGATAGAAAATTTCCTTTTAAAATACTCATGCACAAAAAAAAAATCAGAAATACTCACAATGACACATTTTGCTTTAACCGCGTCTATCCTCAAACAAAATTCAGTCCTTTGTTTTTGTTCTCTACATCTTGCGCGCGAGGAAAGCTGACCTCTATTTAACTCAAAAACTTAATTTATTGCCCTCCTGGGAGTGACATCTTTCAAAGAGCAGAATAGCACGTACAGCTGCAATGCTACATTTGCTTTACACATAATGTGTCTTCTACAATGTTCTCGACCGACATCCAAGAATTTCTTTTAAAATTCTTAAATTGATACGTTTGTATGCAGTATTACTTTTTGGCTTTTACAAGGGAAACAGTATTTTTTTTTATAATTTGCAACAATATAAATTCATGCATATAGCCAAG